TAATTTCCTGGCTGCTGGTGCCAAGAATGTTGACTGTGGAGCCGAGCAAACTGAAGCTGTGAACAATCTCAATCTCTTCGCCATCCATCCTGATACTACCGATTGGTCCACCACTGGCACATACATAATTTTAGAATATCTTGTGTTTATATGAGATTCATTAATACTATGTATTTTAGGTTCCTTTTCTAATTCTTGACTCTTGTTAAACTTTCTTGCTACATAAATAGTATTTTGAGCATTTGTAATATGCTGTAACAGTATGAGAAATTACAAAAACTACAATTAATTATTATTGTAAAGTACCCCAAAGCCATTGCCAGAAAAAGAGTTTTTGGGCTTCAGGGAGGAGAGAGAGGCAGAGCTTTCTTGATAGCCCACTCTATCCCAGCCACCCTCTTACATCAGCACCTGGCTTCAAATGGAAGACAAGCGGTATTAACCCACAAGAAGGCAATCCTGGAGTGAAATCTTAAGAACAAGGACTTTTTCTCAGAACCTTCCAAGAAAAGAAGTTGTACATTACAGTTGTACTGAACAACTTTAAGTTGAAGTCATACTGGCTGCATCATAAGAGACTGACATCAGCATGATATATTCAGAATCACAGAAATCCTGATAGCTTGAGACATAGTCCATCACATCAGGGGCTGGTTAATGGGAGACGGGTGTTGAATGCTGTAGGCAATAGTAGAAAGGGATGGTGGTGGAGTAAGGAAAGGGTGGATCAGAAACAAACAAACAAACAAGCCACACACACAAAAAAATCCAAACAAAGCAGCAACATGTAGCGGGGGTTGGCCAGCAACATTGAATCTGTTGGTCATTTTTATAACTGGGCAAATGTCTTTCATCTGCTATTTTCTGTGGAATGCTTGTCTGTCATATACTATTATATGTATTTAAAAATTTAGACAGACTAGGAAGAAGGATAGGCCACCCACTTCCAAAATGACAGGCCTTCGAAAACCCTGTGAACGATAGAGCACCCTTAGACTATTGCTTGGACTAACAGACATGGCAGTTGAGACTGAGATCTTAGAAATGGAAATACAGAGAAGAAGGAAAAGCTATAAGGAGACAGTAGTGATTGGAATGTGGAATGTGAGAAGCATGAATGTAGGAAAATTGGACATTGTTAAGAAATGGAACACATAAATATTTACATACTAGGTATTGGTGAAATGAGATGCCTTGGCATGGGACATTTTGAATCATGATCATATGATTTACTATGCCAGGGATGAAAAGGTGAGGAAAAATGGGGTTGGTTTCATAATTTAAAAAGTCATTTTTAGATCCATCCTGAAATACAATGTGGTGAGCAACAGGATAATATCCATACGCATACAAGGAAGCCCAGTGAATACCACTATCATTCAAATATATGCACCAACAACTAGAGCCAAAGAGGAGGAAATAGAAGATTTCTACCAACTTGTGTAGTCAGAAATTGATCAAACATTCAGTCAAGATGCATTGATGATAATTGGCGACTGGAATGCAAAAGTTGGGAACAGGGAAGAAGGATCAGTAAGTAGCTGGAAAACACGGGCTTGGTGAGAAAAATGAGGCAGGAGATAGAATGATGGAGTTCTGCACATTCAGTGATTTATTCATTGCAAATACCTTTTATAAGAGAGAGAAACACAGGCTATACACATGGATCTCACCTGATGGTATGCATAGGAATCAAATCAATTACATTTGTGGAAAGACTCCGTGGAGAAGCTCAATATCAGCAGTGAAAAACAGGCCAGTGCTGATTGTGGGACAGACCACCAACTGCTCATATGCAAGTTCAAGCTGAAGTTGAGGAAAATTAAATCAAGTCCACGGGATCCAAAGTTGATGTTAAGTCTATCCCACTCGAATTTCAAAACCATCTCAGGAACAGATTTGAGGCCGTGAGCACCAATGAGTGTAGACCAATGAGCTCTGGGAGGATATCAAGAAAATTGTCCATGAAGAATGCAGAAGATCATTACAATGGCTGAAAAAGAAGAAAATACAAAGATGGATGTCAGGTGAGACTCTGAGTATTGCATTAGAACGCCGAGAAGCCAAAGCTGAAGGATGAAATCAAGAGATCAAAGAGCTGAACAGAAAATTTCAAAAGGCAGCTCGGACGACAAAGCAATACACTATAATGAAATGTGTAGAGAGCTGGAGTCAGAAAATCAAAAGGGCCAAATTCGCTCAGCGCTTCTTAAGCTGAAAGAGTTGAAAACCAAATTCAAGCCACGGGTGGCAATACTTAAAGTTTGGGTAGAATGTTGAATGATCCAGGAAGAATCAAAAGCAGATGGAAGGAGTACACAGAGTCACTGTGGAATTGGCTGACACAAAGGAATTTCATGAAATAACATATGAGAATAGCTTATGGTGATGAAGGAGGAAGTTCAAGTTGCTATGAAGGAATTGGCAAAAAACAAGGCTCTGGGAGTTGACAGCATACCAATTGATTTATTTCAACAAACAGACGCTGCCCTGGATGTGCTCACTAAGTTGTGCCAGGAAATCTCGAGGTCAGCCAGCTGGCCAACTGACTGGAAGAGATCGTTATTTGTTCCCATTCAAAGAAAGGTGACCCAACAGAGTGCGGAAATTATTGAACAATATCGTTAGTATCACATGGAAACAGGATTCTGCTGAAAATTGTCCAAAACCCTTTGGAACATATGTCAACAGAGAACTGCCAGATGTGCAGGCTGGAGGTCGTGGAGGGCTATTATAGCTAATATTAGATGGATCTTGGCAGAAAGCAAAGAATACCAGAAGAATGTGTATCTGTGCTTCATTGACTAAGCAGATGCTTTTGACTGTGTGGATCACAATAAGTTGTAGCTGACTCTGAGAAGAATGGGAATCCCAGAACATTTGATTGTGCTAATGCGAAACCTATATTGAGCCAAGAGGCAGTCATCAGAACAGAGCAAGGATACACTACATGGTTCAAGATTAAGAAGGGTGTCTGTCAGGGATGTATTTTGTCTCCCTACCTTTACAATCTGTATGCAGAACAGATCATCCGAGACACTGGACTGTTACGAGGAGGAATGTGGCATCAGGATTGGTGGAAGAGTCATCAACAACCTGTGTTATGCAGATGACAACCCTGCTTGCTGAAGTTGAGGAGGACCTGAAGTTCTTGCTGCAGAAGGTCAAGAACTGCAGCCCCCTATATGATTGAAGTTCAACATCAAGAAAACAAAAATTCTCACCACTGGGCCAATTGGCAGCATCAATATGGATGGTGAAGAGATTGAGATAGTTAACAGTTTTAGTTTACTTGGTTTCACAGTCAACACTCTTCGTAACAGCAGCCAGGAAATCAAGAGACGAATTGCATTGGGAAAGTTTGCTGTGAGGGACCTCTCAAGAGTACTGAAAAGCAATGACATCAGGCTGGAGACTAAGGTGCGCCTGATCCGGGTTATAGGCTTTGCAGTTACGTGCTATGCATCAGAGAGTTGGACAATGAATAGGAATGATAGAGAATTGATGCCTTTGAGCTGTGGTTCTGGAGAAGAGTATTGAATATACCATGCACTGCTAGGAGAACAAACAGGTTTGTCCTGGAGAAGGTGAAGCTGGAGTGCTCTTTAGAGTTGAGGATTCTGAAGCTTCGTCTGACGTACTTTGGGCATGTTTCGAGGAGGGACTGGTCCTTGGAGAGGGACATCATGTTTGGTAGAGTGGAGGTGTTGCACAGGAGAGGAAGACCTTTGATGAGATGGATCTGTTCTGTGACTGGAGTGGTGGGAATGAGTGCGTTTAAGATGACTAGGTTGGCACAGGATAGAACGGCGTTTAGGGCTCTTGTATCTAGGCTTGCTATGTGTTGCAAGCAACTCGATGTCACAGAACAACAACAATAACAATAGAAATGATTTCACTTCATAGTTTTATGTTTCATTTTTACTTATAGTCCAAGTTTATAGTTCTCAATAGAAAATAGTTTCATATTTCTTTGTGTGATTTTGATTATATAATTTATTTTCTGGAACTGACTACTTGTATTTCACAGACTTGCACAAACACTCATGAGATCCTGGTATCCTTTGGAAGAAGAGTTTTGTGCTATCCACTTTATCGCCATTTCAAGCTGGTATTGAAAGCCTGCGGAGATACTATAAAGATACTACAACTAGGTAAGGTATTGTTATGCTTGAAAATTTGAGTTGGTTTTCTCTTTCAAATTAGTTTTAAGGGTTTAGTCATAAAAATTAATAGTGTATGTTGTTAGTCTGAAAATATAATGATGCCTTTTGCTTTTGTCTGCATGTAAGAGAGGAGTTAGTTTCTTATCTGGTGGCATATTCTGTAGAGAGTTGTACTGGTAACTCAAGGCCTGTGCCTCTGGCAATACAAATACACTTGGGGTTCAGAGGGAGAAAGAAAGATGGAAAGTCTCCTCTCTTGGAATTGATGATGTTGTTATTAAGTGCAGTTGAGTCATAGACGACTCATAGCGACCTTATGAACAAAAGACTTGAATACTTTCATTGTTTAGTTCACTGAGTTTCAGGAGGAAGCTATTTTGGGAGTGGATGCCACTCCTGCTTCCAAGCTTGTTTTAATTGGGGAGCTCCACCAAACACTGTCTAACATGGGTAACCATTATCACATTTGATACATCAGCAACCATGAGTTACCTCTGTACAGCAAATGGACCAATGAATGCTAAACCATTTAGAAGAACGTTTAACCAAAAAACAATTTAAACCAGTCCTGATTGGCCGCAGGTTAAATCAACCACTTTTGGCTTAGTAGCATAACTTTCTATACACTAGGTCAATAGAGCTCTTTCTATGTTGTTGTTAAGTGATACCAACCCTATGAACGAAAGACCTGAAAACTTGTATAATTTTTATCATTTCTCCACATTCATAGAGTTTTCAGAGGCAAGCTCTTTCAGAAGTAGATGCCACTCCTGCTTTCAAGCTTGTTTTAGTCCACCATGGGTAACCGTTACTGCATTTGACACATCAGTTTAACAGTGTTTAGCAACACAGCAATCATGAGTTACCTCTGTACAGCAAATGGACAGGCTCATGCTGTACCATTTAGAAGAATGTTTGACCAAAAACAATTAGAATTGATAGCCTCCTAAAAACCTGCCTGAGGATGAGCTGAAGTGATTCTCACTGGATAACAATGAGTTCATTTATCCATAAGAATTACTTTTCAAAAATCTAGGCACATTAACCCCTATTAATATAAAGTAATAGTCACTATATGTAGTTATCTAATGATCTACGAAGGTATATTACTGTTTCCTGAGTGGTGAGGGAAGGGTGAGTGAAGATGGTAAACGGAGTATTCCAAACCATTTTGTAGTATAGTGCAGTGCATCGTTCAGTAATTCTTGAATGGCTGTACTGCGCTAGGACTGTCGTTAGTTGCTTTTCAGTTCACTATAACCTCCTGTGAATAACAGATTGGAATGTTGTTCTGTTCTGCACCATTCTCACAGTCTACTCATGCTTATGCCCATTGTTGCACTTATGGTGTCAGTCCATCTTTTTTGATGACCCTCTGCTATTCCAGCATAATATCTTTTTCTAAGAATTTACACCTCCTGACAGCATGCCCACCCTGTATCAGATAAAGTTTTACCATCTTTGCTTCTGAGGAGCACTCTGGTTATATTTCCTCCAAGACTTATTTATTTGTTTCTTTTGGCAGCTCTTGGAATATTGAACACTCAGGTAATGTTACAATTCAAAGACATCAATTCCTTAATTTTCCCTTTATTCATTCTCCTTCTTTTACATGAATATGAAGTAGTTGAAAATTCCATGGTTTCCGACAGACACAACTTTATCTTTAATATGGATTCTTTTCTCTAGCACTTTGGAGAGGTCTTTGACAGCAGATTTGCCTCATACAACATCTTTTGAGTTGACTGCTGCTATCATAGGTGTTGATTATGGACCCAGATAAAATGAAATCTTTGAATCTTTTCTCCATTTATCATGATTTAGAACTGTATGTATCATAATAAATAAGGTAGATAAATGCCATACCCCTACTGGATTTATAGTTTTATGAGGGAGTTAGATGATAAATAAGTAAGCTCTTCCAAGATGTGGAAGCAGAAGTGGCATCCACTTCCAAAACAACATGCCTCTGGAAACTATGAACTTTGATAAATGATGATAGTTATAGAAAGGCTCCAGGCCTTTTGTTCTTAGGGTCGCTATGAGTCATGCTCAACTCTATGGCAATTAGCAACATTCCAAGATAGATCCACAAGAGTAATACTTATTCTGGATGATTCAATATGACACGCTTAACCTATACTTGGGATGTCAGGAGTGGTTTTCCAACGAAAAGTGCAGCAGCACTTTTGACGATTGCTAAATCTAACCTGAAAAGACAAAATCTTGCTAGCTTTAAAAATATGGAATATTCCAGGCTCTTAAAAAATACCTAAGTGCTAATAACAGCATATTGGATTATGTATCATGGCTTATAAAAAGATAATAACTTTGAAGACACTAACATCACTTGTATAAATTAGTCCCAGAACATTAATTTAAAAGTTACTTTGAAAAAAAAAGAAAAAAGTTACTTTCACTATTTTATGGTCATTTCTTACATTTTCCCCTGAGGAGTCTAGTCACTCTTTTGTCTTTAGATAAATGTGCTGCTGCTGGGGCTTTATTTTTAGACTACAAGATTAAAAGTGAGAGAAAGAAGTTCTTCCTTATATGACCAGGTGACTTCCTTGGTTAACTAGGTGGGGTTTTTTTTTGTTTTTTTTGGTCCTCTGTTTCAACCTATGTCGTCTTGCCGTGAAGGGAAAATAATGTTTAAAGTAGATTCTATTATGTTGTTGTTGTGTGCTTTCGAGTCAGAACCATTTTCAGAAACAGTAAATTGCAGGCGGAGACTGCTCGTCCTTCTCCCACGTAACAGCTAGCTGGTGGATTCAAACCATGTCTTTGTGATTGCAGTATAGCTTTTTAAACTAGGCCACCAGATATCTCAAGATTCCGTTATAGTATATATTAATTATAAAGTAAATCGTAGTTAAGTGAATGTTACAATTTATTCATTTAGCTGGTTAAACATAAAGTATTTTATTGTGTTGATTTTGGGATAGCAAAGTGGCAATAGCCGTGTGAAATAAGCTACTCTGTTTCATTTTTTTTCCTTCTTGCTACAACTAAAGATATTTCTTGAATTGCTAGAATTACCCTGAAAAGTCAATCTATTATAAATGACTGCTGAGCTTGATGAATAATCAGTTACACTTAACAATTTCTTGTTTTTTCAGTGATGGTAGATTATATGTGCATTATTCATAGATTTAAAGAATGAGAATGTAGTTATAAAATAGGACTGACATGGATGGTTGGAGTGGAAATAGGAGAAGAATTAACAGATAATGAACACTGCATTGGAACAGATGAGGGGAAGAACTATCTGAAAATATATGATTAGACATTTTATCGAAGACAACAATTTGGAATAAAAGGTGCATTGCAAAGTGGACTAGGGGAGTGAAAGGGAGAAAGAGGGAGGAAAATGTGCAACAAAAATGAAAGAAAACCCATACCCTTCTATAAGCTTTCATTAAAATCACAGTAAAATTTTTAGCCTCTGAAAACCCTATGTACAACACAACACAACACACGTAGATGAACAGAAAGGGCAACCTAGGTAGAACTGTCAAGCATGGAAATACAAAGGGAAAGGAACATTTGTAAGCAGACACTAGTGATTGGAACATGGAATGTGAGAACCATGAATGTAGGAAAATTAGAAATTGTTAAGAAATGGAACGCATAAATATTGACATACTAGGCATTGGAGAGATGAGATGGAATGGCATGGGGCATTTCGAGTCAGATGATCATATGATATATTATTCTGGAGACGAAAAGG